CAGGTTTTATTTGGTTCGTCCCAGATGTGTTGGATTTGCCATATCCCCTTTTCCGACCAGTGTCCCCATTGAGGATCTGACTTCGAGCCTGGTAGGCTTTCACCTTTATCGTTCTCCCGAGGATTTCGTCTTTTTTCTTTGGACCTCTTCTGTTCTCTGGGAAGACGAGTCTCCACGTATGTAGGATTTGTTCCCAGAGGGATTTGGTTTGATGGGAGTCATTAGAGTTCTGTTGGAGTGCTTGGCGGGATTGTCTCCGTTTCCCTTTAGGAAGTGGCCAGTGTTTGTTAAATATCCAAAATAGGTCTGTTATGTTGGTAGGAGAGGTAAAAGGTGCTAGTTCTCTGATGTGGTTCAGGGCCAGTGGGATCCAGTGCAAATTGTCCTGGAGGGCCAGTCTTATGATCCATTTTATTTGTAGGGCTTGGATTTGGCGGGTTGGGTGTATGAGACCTAGGCCCCCTTTGATTTTTGGGTTGGTGACTATTTGCGAAGCCTCTTTGTGGATAAAGTGATGCTTGTCCGGATTACCTGTCCATATGAATGCTGTTGCTTTTTTCCTCAACTGACTATGGAAATCAAAGTTGGGAACCAGATGGAGGTAGAGTACCACATCATTGCTAGGATTGAGTTGTTGAGCGCCACTACCCTGCCTAGAAGGGAAGGGTGTGTGGCTTTCCAGGTGTGCATCCTATTGACCATTGAAGACAAGAGTGACGCCGCCGAGATTTGATGACATCCTTTGAGATTAAGGTTGATGCCCAGGAAACGGATTGGTGAATCTGGATCAATCCACTGTAGACCTGGCGGGGATAGTTCTGTGGGAGTGGGTGCATCTGCGGGCCACCAGCCTATTGTCTTGGTCCAGTTGACTTTCACTTCTGAGGCCAGTTGGAATGCTTGCATTGCTCTTATCAGGGCTTGGAAGGAGGAGTTGGATGCTCTGATCAGTATTGTGAGATCATTTGCGAATAGAAGGGTGGTGGGGATGTTGAGGATTTTACCTTTTATCCTTGATGTTTTCTATTTTTTCTATGGTTCTATCCTTTCTTAGGAAGGCGGCTATGGCCTCCATGACGAACAGGAAGCTCGGTGCAGCTAATGGATCCCCTTGTCTTACTGACCTTGTCATTGGGTAAGGGTTTGAGAGGAAGCCGATGACTTGAACTATTCCTTGTGCGTTGTTGTAGAGTATTCTCACCCATTTTCGAAAGATGGGGCCTACTTGTAGCGGACCTCGGGATGGCCTGTGAGACCAGCCCCTTGGCCTGTTCTCACAGGCCTGTGTTATATTCGGGGTAGGTCAGTCCAGGCCGGTACCTCTGTCGGTACCAGCCAGTCCAGTCCAGTCCCGTCAGTCCGCTGGGGTATACCCCAACCATTGTCTGTTTTCAGGCTCATTCCTCACTTGCACATTTTGGAGTACGTGCGTTGGAGTCTTGCGTGGGGAG